AGAAAAGAAATCAAAAAAAATAAATAGAAGCAACGTCTGAAGATGTTTCTCTGCTGCCCCTTGTGTGCTGTTGTATCTACTGCAACTTCAACCAGCAGACCTGTAGAACAAACAGAGAGAAAAAATGGATGGCAGTGAGGGGAGTGATAGAAAGAGCAAATGGAAGGAATAACGTGTGCATGATGTGCTCCGATAAGCAGCTGCTGCTCGCGCATTAGGCAAACACTCGACCCAGCTCTCTCCACATCCCCCTTATTCCTGCCCCACACAAATATAGCATTCACGCAAACATAAAAAATAGATGGCGTGCAAAATAGCAAAATATCGTGTAGCATGGTTACAAATAAATGTAGTTTTTGTTTTTGGGAAACCCACTGTGGGAAAGCGAGTTTTGAATGAGTTCATAATACTCATGCAGTGCTTGTCGGGACGACGAGTCAATTGTGTTGGGTTTCCACACGCAGATGAATTTGAAATTAAATTTTCACTGCTACTGAAAAGTTGTTGATGTTGTGTTTGTCTTTGTGGCGGTTACAGGATTACTAATGCATGCTGCAGTTATTGCATCCTTTCATTCTACGTAAGCTCTCATCCTGTCTGACTTACTCATTGCCTATGCTCTCCACTATGCATTGAATACTATCCTACCCAGCTTATAGACATGATCAAAGTGCTGCACACTAAAAGGCAGCTTAACCAACTTCAATGCAATTGCAAGGGTGGCAGCCAAAAAAGGACAGCGGAAACTACGTATACGCAGCTGTGATTCGGGTAAGCTTCCTGTGCGTGTGTGCTCGTCTATAGAAACTTTCCGCGTTTTTCCGTCTCTCGTCGCTTGGTTTGATGAGTTTTTCAGTCGCTTAATTGTGCGCGCCACTGACAACAGAGAACCAGCGATTAGCTCAGTAAATGGCAATCACAGCCTAGTCTTCTGCACCCATTAAACCACACTGCACAGCTGATCCTGTTGGCACTGTTGGCAACCACGTGACTTTAGTCTTTTCTAGGCGACTTTAAAAATCGTTTCTGATTACTTTTTTTTAAGAGGATTAGGCAAACAATTTGTGTCGGAGATTAAACTAACATATTTGAAATAAATTTAAAAGACTCTTCTTCTGCTTCTTTCTGTAACGAAACGAGTTAAAGTAGCCAATTCTTACTACTTCTGTTGTGACCCGATTTCATTGCCACTTATCGATTTTCTTGCAATTGTTGCTAACAAGTGCGACCCAATTTAAAACATTTCATCCTTTTTGCTTGTTTCCTTGTTATTTTTTCTCCAATCTTTCCATTCACAAATAAAAAGGAATAAGGATAAGTAAATTTTACTTTCAGTCTATTTGTTTTAATGCCATTGACAGCTGGCTATTTCCTCTAACGATGTCATCGGCTCCCTTCCTTCTCTTTCGCCATTCCTACTGTTTGACTGCAATTTGGTCATATTTCATGCAAGGATAACTAATCTCGTACCATATGCATATTATATCCCACAACTCCACACACACAAATTATTCTAGATCCAGAAGCATTTAGTATTCATAATGTGGTCCATTTGTTCCACTTTGAGTTTGCAGAGTCAACTAGCCGGACATTCCCAAACAAGTTAATTTAGCCAGACCACTTCAAAGAAACCACTATTGCAGCTGCCTCCGTCTCCACCCTTGCATCTGCCTCTGTTCAAGTCTCAGTCGAGCTCATTAATTTTGCTCAACCAGAAATGAATAATGATATGGTATTGCGAGAGGGGCAAGAGGAGAAAGGGCATCAAAACTAAACATTAAATTCAAAAATCCACCATTAAAACTATATATGGTACTGAGCTCACTCTCACTCTACTATGTTACTTGGTCCGTGGGTGTAAATTTATTTGTGCTGAATTGTTTCCTTGCTGGCTGCTCATAGTTCCGTTAGTTTCGTTCTGGTGTTGCATGTGTGGTTGCAAAGCCAAATACCAAAATAGAAGCAAACTGCAAAAGTTTTTAATTTTTGACATCTCCTTTCCAGCTAACTTTTCCGTTTCGCCTGCATAGACATCGTAGTTCCGATGTCAGTTTTCTTGCTCTACCGAATTAAAAAAGTTTTGCAGACTTTTTACAATTATTTGTGTTTTAAATTATAAATTGTTTGCCAATGTCCTATTCTGTACTTCTAACCTTCTTGTGGTCAACTGGTGATATAAGTGTGTTATGGCTATGTTTCCATATATGTATATACTGTCTTCCCATTACGTATCCTTTTTTATATCCTGAACCCATTAAAAATGGATAAAAATGGAATAATACTTTTGTGCAAATGTATGTAACAGACAGAAGGAAGCATATCCGACCCCATAAAGTGTATATATTCTTGATCAGGGTCAACAGTCGAGTCGATATAGCCATATCCGTCCGTCAGTTCAAGTGTTTGTCGGCAGAGAGCACTTGCAGACCTGCTCATGGCATTTAGTGCAACAATTTAAATTAAATTTTCCAATAAAACTAGAATATATTTAACAATTTAGGGTATATCGTAGTCTAGTTCATTCGACTACAGCACACTTACTTGTTGTTTTGTGTGGTTAAGCAAAAGAATGCAAAAAGATTGTGATAACATTTCGAACTCAAATGCTAAGAATTAATTAGATGACGCAGATCTGGATTCAGGGCATATTCTGACTAAGGTGTCTGAAATATAACTATAACTTGATTAATTCTACTTTTTGTTTTGTGAACTAATTTCTTGCCCATTCGAAATTTTTAGTTATTATACGTATATAACGTCACTTTACGATTGCAAAATAAATATATGTGCTTTAAAGAATGATTAAATGAAGAAAGAAGCAGATATTTGCCGCATAGAAACCCATATATTGACATAAATACCTTCCACATTTATCGAAACTGGGTTCGATATGTTTTTCTTGTATTAAATCAACTTGCTGCTGACTCAAACTGCAGAAAAGGAAGTAAACTTGCAATGTCCACCAACTTCACAATGAATTTACGAAACCTTCGTCTGCGGTCTGCACTCTCGACCCTCTCTCTACAATTAATTGCAGCCAACTTCCGCTTGTTGCCAATCCGACTCACGTCCTGACCATAAGGCGCAGCGCACTAAGCCAATTTCATAGTGTTTTTAATTGAAACTTTCCAAGAGCATCGCCATATATACTTAAGAATGAACCAAATGCTGGAAGGGAATACAAAAGGAAGAAAAAATGTCTCAAAAGTAAAGCAGGTGAAAAACACAGAAACTGAATCCGACCCCGAGTCATTTCCCCCGAAGCGGATACTTGACTGGGTGACAACATCATTTCCGAAAGGGCAAGGCAGCGGATTCGCTACAATGTAAACTTCTTGTCAGGACGAAATAATAATGAGCACTTAAATTGCTGCCATTAATCAGGCGACTAACAGAGTTGTGTAGCTTACAGCCATGTGCTATTTTTATAAAAAGCAGCATCAGAAAGGTCTGAAGAAGAAAACATTAAAATGCGGAAATGCCAACGAAATTGTGATTAAAAACTTGTGATAATTGTTTAATTTATTTGGCACTGGTGGAAAATTTTATGCACAACAGGCAATGTAGCAATGTATTATAAATAAATCATATTTTAAAGATTTATTTACAAGACAGGAAAATGGTCAGGCTAAGCGGAAGGGAAGCACTGAGAAGGGAAACGATAATAATAACAGGAAGTACTCAACTTGGCAAACAAATTTGCATTGTGTGAATTGCTTCCGCCGTTGTAAATATTTTCAGCCCAGTTAAGGGGTTGGGCTGATTCTTGAGATATGTCAAGACAAGGTACATTGTTGAAAGGACAAACACTGAGATAAATCCAAATCCGAGAGCTGTCCACCTCCTTCAACAACATTTCCTTGTTTCAATGCACTTTCAAAGATATTGCAAGCTTGTGTTTCGTTTTAAATGCATATTTTCGTTCTCAGATTCAACAAATTAAATCAGAGATGTCTTTAAACATTTCCACACTATTCTAACATCGTTTTGCACGTTAGGAAATAAAAAAATAGCATTTAAGTATTTTGTCTTAAAAATGTATTTAAATTTATGCTCTCTTTATTGGCCTTGCTTTGTTTTAATTGTTTTGCTTTTTATTTTCGTCTCCTTTTGCGCATTTGTGCCTTTTGGGTTTCCAGCAAATTCCACGTTTGATTACTCATTTTACTGTATTTTTTTCTCAGAATTTAATGCGTTTAGAAATGTATGGCAAGTGTATTCTGTAAACAAATACGAAATCTATGAAATTGCTAATTACCATCTATCATCATGTACAGATTATATCAAGCTATATCTTAGGATATTATTTTCTTCAGAACAGATGAGTAGCATTTTGTTTTCTTCAGCTCACGCTGCTAAAAGTAATTTCGCCTCCTCAACTACGCTCCACCAGCCAACCCAGCTGCTCTTTAAGTCTCCATAGTCAATGACCAACTAATTACTTACCTTATTTATGGGAGGCCTCAATGTTATTCAGTTAATACGCAGATGGCGAAAGTATGCTATTAATTCTCGATTTTGCTGTTGCTATTCTGGTTTGTTTACGGTAACTGAATAAAGGGAAGGGAACGTCAACTAATGGAATCTGCCCGACTGTTGTTCAGTTGAGTGCCTCAGGTAGATGTAATCAAATTTCCATGGTATTAAAATTTCGTTTCATTTTATTTACGTGATAATGAATTCACCTTGGCGAAACTGATGGACCTCTTTTGTCTAAAGCGGGATGAGAATATGTACATTTAAATGTAAATCGACGCACTGCTTCAACGTAACGATGAACTCTTCATCTGATTGTGAGAGTGAAGTGCAGGCAAACAAGTGAATCAGGATAAAAACTTTGTCATACTGTGGTACATTGAATTGGATAAATTTCCTTGGAAGGTAGGTAGATGAACGGGCAAGTGTTTCAATCGGATTCAGTATAATCCAGAAATGTGAACAGAGTAAACATGTAGTAAAACATGTAGTAGTCATTTAATAGTAATATTTTTTTGTACAAATTTGGTCCACTCTAAATTGTCGTTGTTGATTAGACGGCCGTTCAAACGGAGAGATAGGCAGATAACCGACGAGAAGAGAACCACTCAGAACGCAGCACGAAATCGCTCACTCAAGAAGCGCTCAGCAAAGAGCTTTGCAATAAGCTCGAGCGAGGTCTTGTTGCGAGCAAACGGCCAAGGTTATTGAAACAAAGAAGTCGTGTATGTTGCGAATCGACAGTATAGAAAACATTGTGTAAAAACACGTGATTGTAACCTCATAAGTTACAGGGCATTACAAATAGATATATTACTGTGAAAGTGCGGTGGATAATAAAAAGGCCATTCTTGGGCAAAGAGTATGGACCAGACCTGCCACCAGTTTGAGCCAGCTGCACGCCTTCATAAGGTACACCGCGGGAGTGATTCACCCCGACGAGGTTGTAATTAGTCAACCTTACTTCATTGCATCGACATCAGAAGCGTCGCTAGGCAGCGGGACGGAAGTGAGGAAGTGCGTTTAATCCAAGAGGACAACTTCATCCCACGGATCCCGACTTCGTGGATCACGGATCCCGACCCGTGCATATTCGCTATATTGAAATCAAGTAATTCCGATTTATTATCAGCTAGTGCCAGATTACCTTAAAAGTTAATCAAAGAAGACGTGAATGATCAGTCAGCGGTGTGGTGCACGCCCTACTTACAAACACAAGCAATTTTTTTGAGATAAGTGCTTATCAGCTTTTGTGTTTCGTAAAAGCGCGGATGAACAGGCCATAAAGTTTGAAAAGGTCACTTGCTAATAAAATTCAGCGTATTTAAACAAGCGCAACTCGTAATTGGCGAAATGCCCTAAATTACTTTGAATGTATCCAAATCATTAATAGTAAGAAATATAATTATTGAAGTTTTTTTATTATTAATATGGTTGAATAATTTTATAAATATGTCATTGTAAAAAAAAAAAAAAAAAAAGAGTAATAGTAGGTGATACATTAATATTTAACAATACACTGGCTGGTATTAAATCAAACGGATAGTCAAACGTAAATTATATATATATATATATATGTGTTTCCTAATGTTGTAAATAATTCTTTAAACAGCTTCATCTCTGCGTCGACGAACATTGGGCCCAACGATCGCATCGACTTCAAAATTTAAATAAACAAAAACATAAAGTGAGTAATGAAACAGCAACAATGTAGGTACATAAACAATTAGACATGTATGACCTACTTAGTAAATAAGGAAAACCATATACATATATATAAAAAAAAAAGGACTGATCCACAGCAAATACGCCAAGTGATACTTGTTATCTAAAAAAATGTATTCCATATATATATAAGCCCTAAATATAAGTAAAGCATTCGAAGGTTGAATTTGAGCATGAAGCTACATGGCAATGCTAAAGAAAAAAAATATAATTTAAATTGAATAGTGATAATAATTAATTAAAAAAAAAAAGAGAAAATGTATTCATAGATTATAACTCAATTATATAATAGAAAATAGAATTAAGAGTAATGTCCACAACATACCAAATTAAGTTAAGAGAAAATACATGAATTTGCAAGCAATTTAAAATGAGGAGTTAAGGAGTAGAATTCGTCTGTCGAGTATCCATGCTAGAGTTTTACAGAATGTGGTAGGATTTTAAGAGTCCGTCCAAGGGATAATGTATCAAAATTTATATCATTATCATGGTAGGGTGGGTAAAGAAGAGGGACAACTGTCATCTACGTTCCCTCTAATAGGACTAGTGTCTCGGTATAGTTATAGGACGTGTCGGCGTCTCCCATAAATGATAATTGAATTTCATAACCCAAGTGGTTACTTGTTTTTGTAAACGCGCACTATTTAAATGTGGCAGAGTAAATCCGTATTGCTTGAGTAAGAAAGAACCCCGACAATCCGGCGAGCTAGTACGAGCATAGCGAGAGTGCGCACCTCAAGCTCAACAATACACCGGTCACTTAAATTGGCAAGTTCATCAGCCAATCATTAGTAAGACCAAATAAGTTATCCTAAAGAAAATAGCTTATACAAAAAGAAATGATACCCTGGTTTACTACAAACACTGAACCAGGCAACCAGATCGTATAAGCAGGCTTTGGAGTCCGAACTTGACATCTTTGGGTCTGTGGGTGTGTCTGTGCATGTGATGTGGTCCCTGTGCACTCATGTAACCACACAGAAATCCCTAAATTAAAAACTCGCAAGGTAAATATTTGTTTGGCTAAACAAGCAAAACAAGCTGCCACAAACCCTGCAGGAGCTGGAATGGGAATTTAATTTGAGTCAAGTAGAAACGAGATGAAGAGAAATACCTGGAAAGTGTGAACAACACTCTGGGGGCTCAAATTCCAATGGTTTTTGAATATTTTTAAAAAAATTAACTAATATTCTTAGAGACTTGACAAAAAATGAACATTTTAAAATATTCAACTGTCTTTTGTCCATTTCCCAACTCAGGGTATTTTTTTATGGTCTTACCATAAAACGCTTTAATTTTACAAACAAGAAACCATACGACAATCAGTTTTTCCATTTAAATATTTTGAGAGTTTATTGCAACCAAAAGAAGAAGTTTCTGACCGCTCCTTGTATACACATCGTATTTGACTTATCTGTGCTTTCTCTTTGCAGGCACCTCTGTGAAACTGGGATACTGGGATAATGTACTAGAAGAGGAAGGCGAAACAGTTGGTAAATATAATTTGGCAAATTATATTGTGAGTCAAGAAATTCAGGGATTGTTTATCTGGTTAGGGTAAACATTACACAGCAAACAGAGCAAAGCGAATGAATGACACATAATGTTAAGTGGTGTATATTGTGTTAGTCATATTTGCGACAACAGTTAAAGAGAAGCAAGTGACAGTAACTTAAATCTGATTTTAGCCTGTCGTCAACAGAATTCAAGCATAACTTGTGCTCACTTTGAGAGAGTGCAACTCCAACTATTTGCTACAAATTGGAAACATGTTCTGTTGTTGCAGCCAGAAAACATCCTTGACCCAATTAAATGACAAATGTGAAATTATCCAGCTTTCTCTTTGATTGTATTCCAATGGGTATTCAATGAATTGCAGGAATTGCATTAAATTTACACCAGCAGCAGCAGCTCTGCTTGTGGCATGTGGCCATCAGGCGAACTGGGCGATCAATATATTAAATTGGTCACTTGGTTGCTGTTGCTGCTAATTGGCTGGGTGAGAAAATTCGCTCGGTTTAATGTATTTTGGGATGAGCATGCCACCAACTTACATACACTTTATCAGTTGTTTATTCGGAATTTATTTGGAGCATTAGTCATCCTCGCATACATTAATATTTCAAATACTCCAGACAGACCCGAAGGACACTCAGCCTTATCACTAATTCCATTCCTGTACGTAAATATTGCGTTGGGATTAATTCCTAACTCTCACTCTGACTCCTCCACCCAGACAATAAATAATACAATTTATGAGTTTTAATTTATGTTCCAGCCTCGGACGCTGCTATCAGAATGCGGTGCGTGGTATTTTAAAAACTAATTTGAGTTTTTGATAACGACATTGTGAAAATTGGAGCAACATCGATCGAAGAGGAGTTCAGAAATAAAGGCTTATTTTGCATTAAATTCATGAGAGCGTATTAAATGAATTAACAACTGCTATTTGGTTTGCATAGCTTTAAACATAATTCGTAATTCAATTTCAAATAAATATGAGCTCAAACTGCTCAGCAGACTAATTTTATTGTAAATGAGCCGAAATTTAAATTGAGATTAGGTTAGTTCAACAAAAACTTGTTAAATAAATATTAAGATCATGTCTCAAACTATTTTATTTGTATCTGCTTTTTAACTTGTAAATGGCATATATCCAGGGTTGTTGATTAATGTGGCACCACCATTTTTCTGTCTATCCCAAACTAAAAAGATAACAATATTTAACTACTCCAAAAGTAGAATGCAGTTAAATATAATGGCCAATTTATTGAACTCAGTGCATCTCCACACATCGGATATGTCAATCATTCTACGGCTTCTTTCCATATCCAACTTGTCCTAAGATCACAGTGTTATAGTAGCCTTATAATCAAACTTCACCTTGCTCCAAACACCGTAATTTGTTCGGGTTGCTTACAGAGCACACGCATACAATTTTATTTTTTATTATTCGTTCCCCCAGATACTCATCTTCCTATCTTTGTTGTCTGTTCAATTTAGAACTTCTATGTGGCTATCGAGCATGGTGCACTCGATTTTGTTGCTGTTGATGTTGGTATTGTGGTCCGCACAGGAAACACGCTTCAAAGCGCAGAGTCAGCTTAAAATGTCAGACTCTCCTTGCATCTGCTGACCAGGTGCGTTGTGGACTGTCTGGGGATAGAGTGACGGATGGGCAGTGATGTGGGTGAGGGCTTATCAGCTTTAGTGCATCACTGACCTTTTAGTTTAGAATAACCATCAAAAACTGTGTGTTTCTTCGAATATGCATACGAACACATGACATACGTACTTACTCCTATTTTCAAAGTGAGGCTAAAAGGCCATCCGCATATAAACCTGTCAATCGTACGCCCCGTAGTTGCATCCATTATCATTATTGTTGGCTCATTTACTCTTTTCCAGCTGCATATAATAAATGAAAATAGTATGTTGTTATTGTTCCTTTGTCATTTTTATTGCTGGTTTGTACAGCAGATATTGCTGTTGTTGTTATTAAAAACCACAAAAGAGCAGGAATTTGAAATTTTAATTAAATTTATCGTATTAATTTGCTGCATTTTTGATGATGCGGCCGAAATATTTGGTTGCCAGCTTCACATTGATCGCACAACGGCTGAATTTATATATTATGTGGCCTTCGCATGAGGCTCAATTGAAATTTAACAAAGCGAACAATTGCTAAATTTATTATTTTTTGAAGTTATTTTAAAAATTAAAGTCTTTAAAATAAAGCTACTTTAAACTGAGCATATAATAATAAACAAACAAAAAACATCAAGCCAAAGCTGTTCACTTTAACACGTTAAACTTTTTGTGGTCAAGAAAATGAGGCTGAACTGGTTGGGAGACTGATTTTCCACTAGCAGATAAATGTTCAGCAAGTGGCTTAGGACAAGTTTATGAAAATGCTGATAAAGTTAAGTAGAGTTTATTTTCCATATCTTTGAAAATCTTCTAAAACATAGTTGATTTCAGATTTTATTTAAAGCAGTACAAATTTAGGTTTTTTTTTGTAAAAAGCATCCTCTTTAGATATATTAAAGAATTATGGCACACTAAAGCAGTTCACTTAGTGTGTAAGTTGGTCATGTCACAAGCAACTCAAACTGTTATGAAATATGTCTGCAATTTGTCACTTTGTGCCCCCACCCGTATTAAGCATACGCAGCATGAACTACTGGAAAATAAAGTATATGGGAAATTTCTTTTTATCGCTCTCTGAGAGCAAATCAAAGTCGCTTGTCATCTTATCTTCCAGTCAACAACAATCATCAAACAGCAATCACTTAGTCATATCCTGGCTCACATTAACCCTCTGAGTTTCGACATCGTAATACTTTTCGCAATGTTTTATTTATCCAGTCGTATTTTTGTTATTTTTGTTTTTATTCATACCTTTCACACGACAGCAGCCACAATCATAATGCCTTGAGGCTTGAGTCTCAACTTTGACATTCCCGTGTCGTTTTTTATGCCTCGCCTTTTATTGCGTGCCATTACTTTAATATTCTCGAGCCTCCAGTTCGATTCTGCTCACAGCAATCGATGAAGGAACAGGAGGGATGAGTTCGTTGGACCCACACATGAGCACACACATTCAGATGGTCTTGTGTGTGGTTGGCACTCTCAGTTGAGCGCTGCCTGCCTTTAATGTATTTCAATTATTTTTATTGGCTTATCATAAATTATAAGGCCCCCTGGCCTTGGCTTCCATATTTTCCTGCTCCTGCTTCTGCTCCTGCTCCTGCTCCAGCTCCTGCTCCAGCTCCTATTTCTTGCTTATTTCAGTTAGCTTTACATTTTCACAATTGTGTTGTTCATTCATTCCCCTCGACTAAGTTTCACTTTGGCCATGGCTGAAACACATGTTGAGCCCTGTTTTTAGCAATACTGCTTATTGAAAAACTTTGGAAAGTCGTTGCGTGGATCGCTTCTCCTTTATGAAAACTTTCAGTTAAGCTAGGTGGCAACGATGGCAACAACTTTTCGTTCTTCTTAAAGCATTTTATAATTTCATTTCCTTTCCTGGCTGCGTCTTTATGCAACATTTTAGTTTGCTGGTAAAACTTTATTGAGTTCATTATATGTTTCGAGTACGCCTTAATTATTCTTGCATTTGAAAATAAGACAAATTAAATTGTGCTTTTGTTGTTTTAAATGTCTTAACTGATAGCTCAGCTGTTTGCAATTTGTTTTCAAGATTCTCAGTTTGGATACTAAAACGTTCCAAAAGCGGTTTGGAACTTCAATCGTTTACTGAGAATTGTGGATTTACCCGACTCCAAGTGATTTTCATATTTACTCACTGTTCAAGAAAGGCTTCTACTGGTTTCCACAGAATAATTCAATTGCTTAATACTCCCTTTGTTCCTAGACTCCATCATTAATCAAGCCATCAGATTTGACCGAATCCCTTACCAAGATTGTTCCCCTTATTCATTCACCCATTCTTTGACTCATTTGCATCCATTATGCATTCATTGCAATTTGGCACCGATCCCCGTTGTGCTTGTCACATTTATCACGCCGCATTGCATTCGGGACTCTATTAGAGAAGTTTCTCGCAATTTTAATTACCACGCCATCGTCTTCATCATCGTCAACATCATTGTTGGCGGAATGTTGCAGCTAAAATTGTTGTAAACAGCACCGCAAATGCAATTTCCGTGCAAAATATTTTGCACAAAGGCACAAAAACTTTATTCTCACGCCGCGCTTAATTTCGTGTTCTATTTTTCACTTCGTAGTTGGCCAAATACATGAGGTTTGAGTGCGGCAAATAGAAAAGCAGAGAAGTACAACTAAAGAAAAAGTTTTCTCGCTGAATAAGTATTGAGCAATACGCCTATCCTTCTCCCCTTCCCCCCTTCTGCCATCTCTTAGCTGGCCTACTCCGTGAAGCATTTAAAGTTCAGTGCTCAGTTTACAACTCTTAACAGTTTCGATTGCAGCCGCATACTCTGCGGCGTTTTGCTAACTTGGTAAATAAATGAAAAGCATTTGAAAAAAATGAATTGAGAAGAAATTGTTGTTTCAGAGGAAAAAGTAAAGAAAAACCGCAGAATAGGATGAAAAATTAAATGCTGTGGTTTTCTCTTGCATTACACTGGTTGTTGTTTCTGCTGCCAGCTTGTGTTGTGCATAACGACAAAATGCACTTAGTTTGATGATCAACGTGGCCACCTTCAGAGGGCTAGTATATGCCAATATAAGGGGCGTGTTATCAACTGAAAAACGCAGGAATCGTAAGAAGAAGTTTAAAGAGCAGCAGAGTGGAGACAAGGAAAATGCGAACTGACAGCTTTCTTATCCTTTTGCGCTGCTTTTGCGAATGGTGTAAATCAGCTTCCTGAAAAAATAATGAGAAAATATTGGCGCATTGCGCCTCGAGACGAAATAGTGGCGCAGTCGTCGTAAACCGGAGAGAAAGTTTCATGTGTTGGTTGCTGATTATTGCGGACGGGTCACGTTACGTATACGTAAAATA